TCAACAAATAAAGGAATTTTCCGAGGCATGACACTTTTTTAATAAGAAGCTCTTATCAATTGGTTCAGTTAGTGGATAAACAGAGAATAGGAGGTAGAGACTTGCTGGCTTGTTTTGATTCACCACCAACATTCCTTTAAGCGGAGCCACTCACCCTCTAGAATTAACTTTATACAAAAACCATAATATTTTGAGAAATACACATTTAGGTGATCAGCTAATAATGAGATCGACAAATTTAAGGATGTGCTATACATATTTTACTTTTACTAGTAAGCTGTACGAACAAGCATGAAACTTAGCTATTGGATCATGTTTGTCCCCAATTTTAGCAAATAACTATATGTCTCAATTAGAAAGTTGCCTAATACAAGAAAAATGTTTAGCTCCTAAATTATGGATTAGTTACAGGAATAACTACTTTGCGGTATAGCAACATGGCAAAGAAAGACCTGGAGAATTCCTAGCGTTGATTAATGGAATCAACGGGAATATCAAGTTCAACAGAGAACTAGAAAAGGATGGTAGTTCACCTTTTCTAGATCTCCTAGTTAGCAAAGAAGGAAGCAAACTGGGTAGGAATGTGCATAGGAAACCCACAAATACCAGGTCTCTTTTGAATTTTTTTTAAACCATACTTACAAGGTTAAAGTGGGAGTTATGGAATCCATGCTAAAAGGGGCCGGTGTCTTGCAGATGCTAACCATTGGGAGTAGGCTCTGAGGATATTAAGGAGAATTTTAGTTGAGAATGATTACTCATTAGGATTTATTGAGAATTGCTTTAATATCCTAGTGAATAGGATGAAGGGAAACATCTATTTGGGGGCAAGACATTCAACTGGGCCACTCGACTAAAGTCCTGATGTTACTGTCATGACAGCTTTCGTAAAAGATATGTGATCTATTGAGGAAGTGGGATATTAAGACAATTTATAAAGAGAAAACAACATTTTGCTGAGTAATACTATCTTTTCGGGAAATTTAGGGCTGTCATGAGTTTTGTTGTTCATGTGCTAGCTTTTATGCGGGAAGACTTTTCGACCCATACATAAGAGGTATTTACTAGTACTTACTTACTTTAAATGGTCTTTTAAGAAGCCTAATTCTATATTTAATTGTGCCGTATCTATTGTTACTTTTTCTCTGCTTATCCCCAAAGCATATCTAGGCCTTAAATTCAATTCTGTATTTTATCTGTGTCTTTGGCCCTTTTTCCCATTCTAAACTATCTGAACTATGATCAGCAAACGCATTGGACTATCAGTTTCACTTCCCCCACCTTAGATCGCTCTATCACCTCATACCAGACTTTGGATGAATACAAAGAAAACTTGGCTCCTTGCGATTCTACCCAATTTCGTCCATACTGTGCCTCTGCCTCCGTTTCCGAAAAGACCCAATCACAGGCTTCAATCAATTTGCATTCTACTACTACTGTCACAACGACTTCTTTTTCGCCTCCACCTTCATCTATAGAAAATTGTTCTCACATTGCTCCGAATATAGAATGCAGCAACAATAACAATTGTCATGACGCGCACACACGCCTTCTTGGTACGCCTGACTATTTAGCACCTGAACTACTTCTTGCGCTCTCAGAGACGACCAGTGAACAATGCTGCTGCGAGAGGCAGCATCTGCCTCAGACACCACAAAATGAGACACATACACTTGAGGTAGAGTGTTGTCCCGCGGTTGACTGGTGGGCCCTGGGTGTTATTGTCTTCGAGATGCTCACTGGTCTTCCTCCGTTCACAGGAGACACTCCGGAAGCAGTCTTTAACAATATAATCAAATTAGGTTAGCAGGCGCATTTAGTATCTTCCTACTTTTTGACTTACATACTGATTATTTAATCACAATGCTTTGGTTGAGTTAAGAATTTTTTCTTATAAACTCTTACAAATAGAAATTTAACCTTAAATATTACTAACAACTCACCTATAAATTTAATGCTGATATAATTTTTAACTTAGATTTCAAGCTTACAACTTTGAATTTATTTTATTTATGTTAATATCATAATTTTAGGTTGCAGAAGTTCTAACAAATTTTACTATCTCTATTAATTAGTCTTCTAGTAACTCTCAAATATTATTTTTTTATAGCTATCTAGAGCGAGTCAGGATTTTTGTCGTTTTCAGCTAATTATTCTTATAACTTGAATAAGTGATAGAACAGGCAGATTTGCTTGTGAGCTTTGATATTGTGTAGTTGTTCTCTAATATTCCCATAAATAAGGTTATACAGGCTTTATGCTTAGCATTATAGCAGTAAATAAGATAAGCATATAGATTGATGAACATAGTAATGAATAGTACATATTATGCCTTTAATGATAAATTATATGAGTTATAAAAGTTGTTTGACTCTGTTTTCGCAACTTGATCATATTGATAGGAGGACCTAGAGAAACGCATCCAGTCCAGAGTCCATGGTATGAATGATATTATCCAGAGTCGGACCGTGATCTTCGTTCATTCTCAGACGTTTTACCGGCATCTTTAGTGAGCCTTGGCATTCTTAGCACCACATTATGACTCGTCAAAGAAACAACTGAAGCCGATTCTTTGATAAATTGTCTGCTAAACAAGTGTGGTATCTCTCCTCCTGCCTTGGGCTATTCTCCAATCATCCTAGTATCAACCCTTCACTATCACAATGTAATATGGTGTGTCCTTTTTTGGTGGATTTCATGCAAACTCTCCAAACCCCACCCTGGATTTCTCACTCTCTCATACCGCAATTCTCTTCCTATAGGTCTTAGCAGAGTCTTCCTCTTGCCGCGTTAGATACGCCTCATACTTTCCTGGTTCACGTATTTTACTCGACTCCTGTCACCCTATCTGTACTACTTGAAGCGCTATTTCCCACACTGCTTCAAGCCTTTGATAAAACGCATGCTCCCTCTTATCTAAGTAGGCCCCTAAAAATCAGGATTCTCAAGCTGGATGGGAGACTAACATGAAGATAAAGAGTCCGAGTAATTTTCATGGTCAAACCTTTGAGTCATGGATCACGTCTACGAACAAACGCGTTTAGAGTTAGCTAACCAGCTCTAGTCTCCGTCGCCTCTCTCGTGTTTCTATCCTAGTCTCTTGTATGCCAACCCACAATTGTTGTAGTTCTACATTGAACTTAATCAAAGCAAGTAGAACCACAACATTTGTGGGTTGGCACACGGGTATAGGTCACAGACTAGACACCATGGCTAGAAGCACGATGGATGCAGTGGAGACTAGAGTTAGTTGGCTAACAGTAGACGTGTTTGATCATAGACGTGGTCCATTAAGCAAAGGATTGACCCTAAGAATTACTCGGGCTCTTTAGCTTCAAGTTAGTCCCCCATCCAGGTAAAGAAGCCTGATTTTTAGGGGCCTACTCAGTGAGGCGAGACTAACCGTACAATCAAAGGCTTGAGACAGTGTCGGAAATAACGCTTCGAGTGGTAGAGATAGGGTGGCAGGAGTCGGGTGAAATATCTGAAACAGGAAGTTAGTATTCGGATCCTACGGGGCAAACAAGAGGTCTAGCCATGGGATCGTATTTGTCTCTAGCTTTAATACATAATTATGTGGCTTACTTAGAGGCCAGGCTTTTATAAGAAGCCCTCTTAGTTTAGAAATTATTAGTCAGATATGTGTTTGACCACTGCCATCTGGCAGGATGACAATGAGAGTTTGGAAGATTTCCCAGATTAACGAATAGATCAGATAAGACGACTGAATCTAATATGGACTTAAATGATCTTGTTGTTAAAGTAAGGTATAAATTGGGTAGCGATGTATATAAAAACTCACTAATGCGGTTTTCTTTGCAAATATTTTCTCTAACCATACTTATGGCACTAAGATAGGGTTTATTAAATTAGTGCTACTAAGGGGTTTGCTTTTCGGACGTTAGGAAGGGTGATACAAATAGTATTTCAGAGCAATTAGGTATTAATATTAACTTTAGATTATTTCGCAATATATTAATAAATCATGTGTGAATAAGCAATTATTTGGGTGCAAAACAGGCAACTGTTCAACTCTTTATCTTTACTCTAATGCTAGTGCTTTGTCAGTTTTAGAAAAGTCTAGCTAATTGCCAAGGAAATGGAACGCCAA